GTTTTCATTATCACCTTCCTTTAGGCTCCTATGAGGAGAGCTGCCAAACCAGATAATTTCAATGTCCCTTGCTAATACTGAAGTTTAAAGACTAATCTTGCTAATCTACAGACCTGAGTGTGCACATGTGCATGGAGTAAGCATCTGTGGAGAAGGATAAGATTTACAAGGCTAGAAGACATCAGTGTAGTCATGTGGAAGAGGTTTCAGATTAAATCCAAATTTGGATCCTTTTCTTTCTCTAAGGCAGTACTGGTCTCAGCAGCTAGCAACAAACTGTAATTAGTTGAGCTTGACATGAGCATCCTGTTTGAACACTGCTTCTCTGATCCTGGTGAGATAAAGGCATTTTTCTTCTTTAAAATGAAAATAAGAATGCCCTCTTCTAATGTTGACTCATCATGATTTGACCCTCTAAACGACTAGATCACATTCTTAACCAGGATTCAAAGAATTAGAGATGCACGAGGACTTTCTAAGAAATGAAAAACACTCTTTCTGAACACACCTGTTCAGACATCTGCTTCATTGCTGATAGTTAACTGGAAAAATCTAGAAGCAAACTATAGTAACAAAAAAAGGAGTAGATACAGTTTGATACAGAATGACAGAATTCCTGGAGGCAGGGTTCACAAGAGTAATGCTGCTATTCATTCTCTAACAAACTTCTGAACTTGTTTTATGTTTCCTTTTTTCAGAAGCTTGAATTTAGGACCAAGTTTCCCCAGGCATCATGTTATCTGTAACATCTACGTAATTGTTCTCTAATTTCCTTAACTAATGCATGAAAAATAGTTATTAAGAATTTGATGCAATGAGAAAAAGGATCATGAACCCAGTTTTGCTCAGTCTCTTATAAAAAAAAAACCACAACAACAAACAACCCTTGCATATTCTCCTGTCTCTCTCTTTAACCACTCTCCACCATGAGCAATAAAATTCTGTAAAGATGATGCTTTAAGTTTGGACTTTCTTCCCCAGTGTTTTGCTGAAAATATAAACAAACGTAAGCAGGAAATTTTCATAGCTGCAGCTTCTTTACTTGAAAAACAAGCAGCAACATATGCTGGATCAGCTACCTCAAATCCATGTGCGTGTGGAAAAGCAGCTGAAATAGGAGTCGGCTTAAATTTGTAATGACATCCTGAAAGCATTTGAAAGATCTTCTTACGGGAGAAAAAAACCTTTTGCTTCATATTTTCTGTTTTCATGTTAAGCTGGAAGTTTGGCAATGGAGTTTCATATGCAGGCTTGGAAAAGTGGCTTTCATCTGAGGTTCAGCAATGCCCTGTCACAAAACAGTTAATGGTAAAGTTGTAGTCCTTAACTTTGGTTCAACTACTCTGATTTTGAGTGTGAACAATGAATGAGTTTGAACACTTGGAGTTTGAACCTGCATCTTAAAATGTTGATTCAGGTGTCTGGGACAGTGCCTGGTCTCTTACGAATTTTATTTTTTTTTCTTTATGGTAAAATGCATGATGGCTTTTTGGTTTTTGGAAGAATGGTTTGATGTATGTGTTGCAGTTTCTCAGAGACTACCTAGCCTAAGCACCCAGTGAGGTCATTGATCTTAACACAGCAAAAAAAAATCCCCATCTTCTGGAGGGTGTTAGGTGTAGAGTGGCTGTGGCTTGTGCATGGTTTGAGAAGTGTTTTGGTGTTTGTTTTGGTTTGTTTTTTTTTAATTTGTTGATCCCCTTAAAGTTTTTACTGTGTTGCTTCTTTTTAGTCAGGAAGTTAAAAATTAGGAGAGGTAGTACTTAATGTGAAACTAAGCTGCTGGCTATGCTTGCACAGTTGAGAACTTTAGCAACTTTAGAATATGGCAGATTTATTTGTTGTCAAGTCTTGCACCTTCCTAACAACACTCAACTACACAAAACATGTTGGTGCTTCCAATGGGTACTTCTCTGTCAGCTGAGGAGAGATTTGGGAGAAATACTGAGGTAGGAGACAGACAAACAAGAAGGTACGACTAAACTGATAAGCAGATCTGTCCTGCTGCTGATTGATCACTGCAAACAGTGGCAAATAATTGAAAATTTGAGGACAGTTAGCCAAAAAACAGGAGTTGGGGGGGGAAAAAACAGAAGTAGGAGAGCTGGTGAATGTTTCATAGCTTCAATTTGGCTGAGTGGCATTTCTGTTTATGACAACACAACTTCCTGAAATTCTAAATCTTCAGGAAATTATCTGGGTAGAGGTAGGCACGTCTTTATTCACTTTGGAAATAAAGTTTGAGCATGGAAAAAGCCCACATGAAGACTGTAAAAGAGGAATATTGGAACCATAATATATGTATTTGGTACTGCAAATGTAAATATCTTTTTGACACTTGCTGTTATTTCTTGGCCAGATCATAGACAAAGGCTTAAAACAGATGAGCATTGCCTGATGCTCAGCTTGCTCACATTCCTTGGTAGCTGCATTCACATGATAACATAAGATGTTATGGTGAGTTAAGAAATAGGAGAATGCAAAGAGTTTTGAAATGGTGGGTAGAAAGGAGAGGGAAGGAAGTAATGTGCAATAATATGTCAGAAGGGAGATAAACAGAACATGTGATATGAAAAGGGGACTGGGAACTGCCCGATCTAAGGTATAGGAAAATAGCATAAGCAGTTTTAGATGGAAAAGAAATGCAAAGATGTGTAGCTAGTTTGGCCTCAATACACAGTTTAGTCATAACCAAATTGGAATTTAAAAATACTTTTGAAGTTCTTCATTAAAGATAAGAAATTATGTGTTTTGCCAAGCTTCTGCTCCGTATACTTTCTGTAATAAATGAATAAAACATTCTTTAGGGTGAAACAGTAAATATCAATGTATGGTTATAAATTGATTATTTTTTTTAATTGTGTAAGTTTGTTACTTACTTACTATTTTTCTGTATGGGACTTCTTTAATAATCATGATTTACTTGTTTCTGCGGTTGGTTCTTCCTGTGTCTGATTTCAGAAGAACAACTTGAGTGACTTCCTCAATTCAGTTCTTACATAGTGACAGGTATCTCATACTTGTGTTTCAAATGCTGTGTGCTTGACTACCCTCAATCCAGAGGGTGAATATTCCTCCATGAACAGAGCCTATACTAATAGTTTTCAGAATATATCACCACTAATCTGCTATTTTAAGCTGCCTCATAATATAGTCCCTTTTATGAACTAATAATTCACTTAAAATAAGATTAGGAATTTTTTACTAATCCTTCCTTACTTTTAATGTCCACTGCTGTTGGATTACTGCATTTATCATTTACAGGTGCTGTCACATTTGGAGCTCACACTTGTGATTTTTAACTTTTTTTTGGCTTTGCTTCAAAGTCCCAAAATGTCAGCTTAAAACAGGAAACTCTATAGCATGCAGAAGGAACAAATAGCTACAATTTCTAATTTCAGACTGTTTTATTGCTCCAGTGCTTTAAATCATGGTGTTTTTTCTAGGTGTTAAAATTGTGCTTTCTCCCTATACTGATAGTTCTTCCTAAATTTATCATCAGTAGATTTAATTACCACAGTTTTACCGATGTGGTAAGTGTTGCTTATGAGAATATTAAATTAGGTTTGTCAAGCTGGGGCTCTCCAGAAATAAGCAGAAGCTAGTAGAACTTATTTTCCATATGATATATTCAATATTTTCTGTCTTGGGACAGTCTGAGAATATTTGATTCCTACCTTGTATTTTTGGTAAAAAAGAAGGTAGTGAGGGTGTTTTTTAATGTATTCAATATGACAATTATCACACCTAAAATAATTACATCTTCTGATGCAGATTTTGAAATTCGTTTTACTTTTTAATCAAAATACCATTTGCATAGCATAAAAAAAATTATATGGATAGAAGTAATTTTTCCTTCTTCAATCTTCTGTATCTTCTTTACAAAACTTTACTTGTTGATAGCTTTTTTGTCCTTGTAAGCATAGATTTGCTCTTGCCTTATTTTTATGATGACATTTTTTTGTAAGTGTCCTAGGTGAAAATTGGACAGAATAGTCTACTGATGTAGCTGTCTATTCAGT